CAATGTAAAAAACATTCAGACACATACAATATAAAGTAATTTTAAAAAATAGCGAGAATTCTTAATGCTTTAAAAAAAAGGTAAAATCAGTGTCTTTATTTCAATGCCTTCAAAACACTGTTCGGCATTGTCATACAGGACTTACAGAACTTTCTGAATAACATAACGTAATTTACCTCTGGAACTGTCTGAGTTTCCTCAAAAGTGGAGAGAGTATTGTCTACCACTGATACCTCTCCATCATTGTTGCACTGAGCTATATAAATAAAAAGAGGAAAAAAACAAACAAACATGGAATTAAAAGCCAGTAACTCCACAAATTATGCCCACTCCCATATAATATTAGAATACATATAATTGTGAGAGATTTCTATTATCCACACATACCAGGAAGCTTTTCTAAAAATACACTAAACTTAATTTTTAATATTCCTCTAACAAGCATCAGAATCCACTTTGTCATTATGTAATACAATGTTTTGGAGGATATTTAAACTCAAATGCTCACACTGATCATAATGGAAGTAACCTATAAATGAAAAGCACAGCTAGATAAAAAAACAACACTATACTGTAAGTTGATACCACAGTACATTTGCATGCTAAGATAATTAAAATATTTTCAAGATAGTCATTAGAGTTTGAGTGTCTAGTCATGTTTCTACAAATTGAGGTTATGAATTTGGAAACATGGCCAAGCTCAATTTTGTCAAGTACACACGAAACCTGTCAAGTCTGTGTTCTTGTACTAGTATCAACAAATTGAGTATTAAATTTAGTAATTAAACTAAGTGGAAGGATTTTCATTATATTCATATGCACCAGACTTATACTTCCAACTCAAGAAATGCTAGCACAGTGTCACAATATTATTTTTCAGGTGTAAAAGCATGGATGGTTCCTTCCAAATTACTCTTACTTGATCTATGACATTATTAAGAAATGTTTAATATAGTAAATTTCTTTTATCAATAGCACTTCTGTAAACTTCCAGGAACACCAATGTATACTATTATGTAACACATCTAAAGTATTGACAAAATGAAAGACATTCTACTAATCTCATCTATTTCAATAAAAAAATACTTTTATCAAGTTGATGACTGAGTATGAAGCAAGTACTTTGACAAAGGCCTACAGAGTATACAAACTCTATTAAAAACACTAATTTTGTGCCAATGCTACAACAGACGCTTACTTATTTTATGGAACTGCTCCTCTTTTTTATCTTACCTTGCAAATCAATTGGTTGCTCCTCGTCTTGCAAAGAAACATATTCTTCTGAAACAAACTCATGGTTATCATTTGTGCTTCCATTTTCGGAAATCACTGTCTCTACATCAGAACCCTGGAGTTGAAGAGTTTTAAATGAACATTACAGTTATTGGGGTTTTGATCAATAAAACAGAAGAAAAGGTTTACAAAGGAAAGAGAACATTAATAATAAAAACAGAAGAGAAGAATAATAAACTTTAAAACTGAAGATGATTTTAAGCAAAGCATGAGAAATGCCAAGTAATTAACTAGAGGGAAACAGCTGTTAGTGTGTAATACCTATGACCATGACTGAAGAAAAGGCAGAGAAAGACAATTCTAGGAGGGGAAAAAAGCAATTTAGGCATCCATTAACAACTATGCTAAGTATTTTAAATAACTGGTTTTATTAGCTTTATTAGACATTTATTTAATAACATCTAGAGAAACAGAGGAGATATTCAAAATTCGACAATGGGCTCTAATTCTTGCACACATGTCCATGTGTTGTATGTAAATACACACCCCCGCACCCCAAAAAAAACAACTTCAAGAGTACCAGCATGAACTCTAGTAAGTACTAGTATCACGAAAAAATACGTGTAACTCTAGGCCATCTCAATTCCTGTCAGCAAATTCAATGGCTGTTTTAATAGAACATCTCTGGCACCAGGAAAACAAATATTGATACAATCTCTAAATTGGATTTCTATCTTTAATCCAGAAAGAAGCCTTAGTTATTAGTCAGCTGCCAGTCAGCTGCAACCTCAGAGCAAAACAGGAACTGAAGATAAACAACAGTCAGAGACTGCAGGGCACTAAAGGCAAGGAATACGGTTGCCAACTCTGAATATTTAATCTTCATATTGTAATCTTTGTTTAAAAGAACTGATGGAACACAACTAAGGTTATCAGAAAACTATAAACATGCAAAACATAACTGAAAAATACTAAGTCACTCTGATCCATAAATAACTTGAGCTGTTTTTGTAAACAGGGATAGTTATTTTTGCAACAGCAGGTGTGAAATTACAGTAGTAGTAATACTTCCATATCAGGTTTCCATAGATGTCTCATTTCAGGATTCAAGCAAACATGTGTGCTTTTGTTTTTAGGAGCAGACTACTTCAGGAAGATTAGATACCTCAAAAAGAGCTGCATAAGATAACTTTGTAATATGTTTGTAGAATGTATGTCCCTTTTTAAAAGGCTTCAAAAATTAACTGCTTTAGTAATTTGACAAACACTTTGTATTTTCTTCTTTTGACTACAAAAGTATCACAATTTTAATCTCAAATGTTTGGCAGAAATTCGCCACTCAATTACAAGTAACTTATTAAAATCTGAGTGAAATCTCAGGGAAGAAAATACAAAATTATTCAGGGTTTTTCGCTTGGTTGGGTTTTATAGATAGGTATATAGATTTATTGTGTGACAATTGTCCTCTGGTGTAATAAAACCATTAATTTCTTAAATGGTGAGGAAGAAAAAGAATAACAAAAATTTAGTTTGCCCAGGCTCTACAACAAGGCAAACATCAGGAATATAGATTAAAATTGTAGCTAAAATACCAAGAAATGGGGCTAGCTGAGTACAAGATAAGCCATACTTTTATAAACACACACAGCCTGGTGTGGATGCCTGAACTCTCTGATTCACTTAATTTGTTGCTAGACCTCCATCACCCTCCCATTTCATCAACAGCAAAGAGGTTGAGAAAGGATATTGTCTTCTCACTCCTTTTCCTACACTCCTACACAAAATTAGCAGATCCTTTCTTAAGAGAATAATCCAATGATACACACGACAACTTCTCTGTTCAAAGCAGCTATTAAACTGAGTATACACAGCTGTCAGTTCTCTGCAATCACAATCTAGCCAATTGCTATTTCTTGCCTCTCTTAACTTGATGCCTTTGTAAATGGCAAAGCAAATCCAGAAACTGATTCCGTTGTGTCAACATCAATACAGGTCACAATAATACATGAGAAAGTAATACTATAGTATTCCAGATTTGTCTAATCCTTAGCTCTACCCCCTTCCGAAATAGCCAGATCATTTCCCCAAAGCATACAGTAGCCCACATGTCACCCCATCCCTGGATAACAAGGGTGTGAAAGGTGTCTAGCCATCCCATTCATTCTACTTTCTTCATGCTCAGATTCAAAGCTCTCTTACCAGGAGAACACCCATACCGGGAGCTTTTAAACACCAGTGTTTTCCCACCCCGAACAGAATGATTTTAATTCTTTTAATCAGGGAAGAATAACTGGGAACAGAAAATCTCTACATCACAGAAATCTGTTCTGCTTTGGCTAGACAAATCCCTGTCTTCCTATAATGTTGTATTATGTTAATTTATTTAGACTGCATAATACATTTTCAGTTCCAGTGTAAAATAACCATCCCAAGTATGAAAGTAAAGCCTGCAGTTAACAGCTGAGTAACCCAACTGTTGTAGCCAACTCTGAAATCCTTTCACTTTTTTTTTAATAAAAGTTGGTAAAGTCTGGCAGCCTGTGCACTCCTGTATCCTGCTTGGTCTCGAGGACTGGAGTGAGTGGGTTTTCTGTTTTTATTTTGGTGACAGGATTCCCAGTTTGTTACCCAAAACAAGGAAAAGTAGTTTTAACCATCTCTTAAATACCACCTTGCTGCCAACAGGAATGAAACTGCATACCAACACATATAAGCCACAAACTGTATCTCTTGCTTTTGAAACTCAACTGAGCTTTCAAAACTCGAGTACAATCACAAGCTTGCAATGGCTTGCCTTTTGAATTACCCAGCTTTTCATTATAATCTGCAAACAGGGGAGTGTGCAGTGAAGGAGAAACAGCTGATCACAACCCATAACCTCTTCCCATTACTTCCTATTTTCCTCCTATGAAAGAAGTATCTCAAGTACTGTTCCTTGAAAATGTTTTGGGACAGGCAATAAGAAGATAGAGACAACCAATATGTAAGTGTCATTCCAGGAAAATAGTTAACCCATTTGCCCTGAGGATTCTGGCCCAATAACCTGCTCAGTTTAAAAGACAATGCTAAATACTTAAAAAAACAAAACAAGCCAGAAAAAAAATCCCCTACTACATCCACACATCAGCCAAGATCTGAAGAGATACAAAAATCCTCAGGACTAAAGAAGAAAAGTATATAGAGATCCACACTAATAGGTAGGGCCCCTCCGAGTTTCTAGGCAACTTAAGCCTGCCTCGTTCGCCGCTAGAGGAAGAAAGATAAAACATTAATCTTACCTAACCTCAAGTGTCTACACCTGAGCAAATTGTTGAAGGCATCTTTACAATCAATAGAGTCAGTGGAGTCAACTGATCAAATATAAGTGTTGACCTTAGAGCAAGAATTACCACTGTCTAGACTCCATTGATCATATTGATTTAATCTATACAATGCAAACTTAGAAACCAACCTCAGGTTCAGACACCTATCCTATAGACACCTAGGCAATCCCATCCCAACAGACCTTTAATTGCTTCACTTTTTTTCTTTTGTCTCAAGCTTTATTCTGCTAGGAATTTAAAACTACTTTTGTTTTAATAAAGCCATTGTCACTTTATACAACTAGTCAAACATCAGAAGATAGGAAACACAAACACACAAATTAAACCAGGGCTATACAAACATAATAGTGACCTTACAAATAGCTATACCCCAAGACTTGATCAAAGAATAAGGGAATTCTAGCATTTCATCCCACATAAAAGTATGCCTAATAAATGAAGCTAAAGCAGAGATCAAAAGATGGAAACACAACTGAAGCCATACAAATTTGACAGAGCTCCACACATCCATGGAATAGGTTTTCATAGACAACAAGTATTTTGAACCAAGAACAGTTTTTTGCCTTGCACACAGTCTGTTAGCTCCTTCTGTCTGCGGCCACAGAATCTATCATCACAACTTCCTTAAATAATTGGATTGCTTTTGTGTATTTCCTTATGGAAGATACCTCTTCAGTGACAATTTGCTCCCCCAAAAAAAACAAAGCCCAACAACGCGTGGCGTTGGGCTAATGGTTGGACTTTATGGAAGGTCCTTTCCAACCTTAGTGATTCTGTGATTCTCTTAGTTGCTGCCACTAGCCAAGCCCTGCACTGCCAAATGAATTCCTCCTCCACTAGGTGCCAACATCCAGGTTATTTCTACATGTTTTATGCCTCATGGTATCCTGCCTGAACAAAAGGGCCAAGGAACCCCAGAATTCCAACGTGAATTGCAAAGAACTTGTGATAAAAGCTGCTGTGACTCCCTGGAAAACACAAAAGAAAGTCACTTCAAAACTCAAACCTTCTCACAAAAGGATCTCTTACCATCCCCAAGTTTTTTTTCAGGCTGTTACAGTTTTCAAGACCCATCAAGCATTGAATATGGCAGCCCTCACCAATCATCATTTTAAGCTCTGAGAAGGCTAGACTTGTCATTCCTGACTTACAGCAGTGATGTAAGAAGAGATGCCCTGACCTCCCATCACCTTCATTTCCCAAAAAACCTAATAAAACGTCGGCATTC